TTAAAAAAATAAATTAAATTTTAGGTTAATTTACATATAAAATGTATGTATGTATTTATAAATGAATTTTTATATATATTTATATATATATATTTTTTCCAAAAGTTCTAGTGATACATTTTTGATGATTTTAAACTTACTTACTGTAAAAGAGACTCGTCTAAGTTAATTTTTGTCTCTGACAATACTTCTTATAATCATAAGCAGACGACGCTCCTCTCACTCTCACATTCGCTTCTTTCACTTTCACATCCGGTTTCACAACATCATGGCAGAGCCAATCACGGATCAGTCGGCATTGGCCCATCTCTCCATATAGGATCTCTAAAATAAGTAATAATAATATTGAACGAAATGGAATTTTCTGATAAAAATTTAATTCATTTGAAAATTGTCCTCATTTATATGCGATAAATCGTCAAGACTACAAAGACAGACAAAAGGCTCAAAATGCTTTCTTTCAAATGCTTTCTTTCTTTCTGCTTTTTTTTTCTTTTTTCTTTATAACAATTGTAATGCAATTGTAGCTAAATTAAGGATTATCAAGGCTGCCTTTCTGGATTGTTGATCGATCTCCATGATTTATGCAAAATATAAACTCCAACAAGTTTATTAAATAGAAGAGGTTAAAATACTTCGCAATTGTATTTTACAAGTACAGTTCCTTACGTTAGTTACGTTACCGCTACGGACTGCCATTGTAGACGGGAGGAGGAGATTTCTTACGGTTACGGTTACGGACGTTACGTTACGTATATTACGTGCCTATTGTAGATGATCCTTAAGGGTTGGATTATACTGGCCGTAATCTGTTAACTTATGCTGTAATCTGTAAAAATTGACCAATTATAATCGATTATTCCCCTCTCATTCGACTGTGATTGGTCAATTTTTACAGATTACGGCATAAGTTAACAGTTTACGGCCAGTATAAATCAACCTTAAGAGTGGTGCCATACGGGTATCACTTGTGATTGGTCCGCCATGTTTTAGCTATTCCCTCCAGTTTTTCAACCGCATTATTTTCTAAATTTTGTATTTATGCTAAAAAATACTCAAAAATTATGACAAATTAAAAAAAATGGTAATAAATAAATACTGTATATAAAATAATGTAACTTTTATATATTTATTACAACATAATGTTATTTATTGCACATTATTTACGCTATGTTAAAAACAAAATTTATTATAAATAATATAATAAGAAGAAATAAACCGCAAAAACTTATTTTACTTAAAAGAGTGATACATCGTCGCCATAGATTTGCTATCATAATATTTGCGATTCGGTAATACAATTTTACGTTTATTTTTAAATTTTAAACGCACTGTTGCAAATTTTTTAAATAGCTTTAAATGCAAATTATGACAATCAAGAATATGATCTGTAGGAATAGAATTAAATTCATTAACTAAAAAGGTATGTGAATTTACATTACGCATTTTATCGAAGTAAGGTCTGTAATGTCTAAAAATATTTTCTAATTGTAAAAAAACTTGAAATGTTGCCTCATTGACAAAGTATAAAGTCTTTACGTTGTAACATTTAAGTCTCGTCAGTAAAGAATATTTAAAATTTAAGGACGTTTTTTTTCTCCGAAAAATCCATTTTCTTTAGATTTTTCTGAAACTTACAGAAAAAGCTTGTTTTAGTGTTCTGAACATATGCTTTGAAGCTCAGTACTCGTTACGGGATTAAAAATCGAGATATTCCACTTCAAAGTTGAAACGTTTAACGTAGAATCCCTATCTAAAGCTTATTCGAAAGTGGTTTTTTATTCACTGTAAAAAAAGTTTTCTTTAGAATTTTTTGAAACAAAAAGACATAAAACTTGATATTACAAGGAATAATATGAAATTTTCCTGAATATGTCTTCCTGTATTCATTTTTAAGAAACCATTTAGCAAAGTACACAGCTCCGCTATGTTTTCGACCGGCGGCAATAGCGAAAGCGAGAGGGAACAACGAAACAAGTGAAAGAGCGGAGTGGTAGTCAACTGTTACTTTCTGTGTGTAGGGGCGATTACGTGGACGCGAGTAAACTTTAGGTTGAGCACAACTGCAGTCGGAGAACGCCTTAATGTTTTTTTTTGAGCCAACAAATTCTATACAATTACTACACGAGGTACATGTTTTTTTAACAGATGCCAAACAATATTCAGCAATATGGTATAAAGAATTTATCTCTTTGTTATTATATTCTATTGTTAAATTATTATTAAAAGGAGGAATTTGATCTATAATTACAGTAGAGATGAATGAAATACAGAAAAATTAAGTACATCGTTTTTTTTACACTTTAAATAATCTAAAAAACCAAAAAGCTATTTACTATTATCAGTCTCATAATTTCCTGACAATATTGGTTTTGTGAACATCGATACAGCAATTAATTTCAAATTATTTTTAAATTGTAAAGAATCTAAAATTGGATTTTTATGTCGCAAAAGTGAAAATAGATTTTCTATACAGTCTTGTGTAAGACGACCAGTCGAAACAAAATGAAAATTGCGATGTTCCAAAAGATACTCTACTAAATTAATAATTGATGTTGTAGAAAGTATGATATCTCTTTGTACAGGTTTAAATGTATCTACACTATTTTTATTTTCGTAAAAAGATCAATTATTTTACGAAGAAAAGAAATGCTAGCATTGTATATTTCTTTATTTTTTGTACCCAATGCTGTACAACATGTTCTAGAAGTCATTAATGAGAACCACTTAGATATTTGTTTAACGAACCATGAGGTTGTAATATATTCGAGTTTATGATTTTCATTAGTTAAAAATTCTAATGCACTACT